TGATATTTGGTAAGCACTTCAGATCAGGATTCTCTCTCAGTCAGAAGGAGAGGCAAAGCAGCAGTGAGGGTTAGAAAATCCTTTTGAAGTGTGAATGAAATGCATGTAATAGCAGGAAGAACCAGGACAAAGTCTGCAGAGCTGTTCATTTGGACTACCATGCCCAGAAACCCCCAGGGGCTGGGGGCCAGGGATAAAGGAAAGAGGAAGCTTAAGGCTGGAGTAGGGGAAGAGAGAGCAGTGCGCACATGGCACTCGGTCAGCCCTAGGTGGAGATGTGCACAGTGGAGCTGGAAATCTCACTGTCTCCGTCAGCCGGGATTGTGGACTTAACGAGCTGGACTCAGACATTGTGACTCTAACCCCTATGCTTTTCTATATAGAAGTGGGACCTCCCCTTTGCTTCTTGTGCCAATTTCTGGGGCTGCAGGCACAAAATGACAGGGGCCCTCAGGAATGTTTTGGGACCAGGCACAAGTCCTGTCTGGGACCGTGCAGGTTGCTTTAATGGTAAGAAGACTTCAGCAGAACATGCATTATTATCAGGTTATACTGTTTTGATTCAGCTGGATTAAAGCAGATAAGAAAATGAGACTTCTGTGAGACAATTCCAGAAATCCAGGGACAGACATTTTATACATGATTTTTTAAACTTATCAGAACTGTCTGAAATCTACATATTTCCTGTCTGACCACAGTAATCCAGGAGACTGGCTCAATTACTCACTAAAGGACTGAAATGCTGAAACTAAAGGCCTAGAAAGAGCCTCTCATTGTTCCTGAAAGGGGTTGAAATACTGGTAAGCATTGAGACTCTGCAGTTTCTTTTCAAGATCTGAAGAAATCCAAGTGATTCTATTGCAGTTCACTGTTGCCCAAGAAAATCAGCTCTGAACAAAAAGAAGAAATACAAATATTTGTGTGTGCGCATGCACTAAAGTTTATTAGGATGAATGTCATACACAGACTTTTTCACACATTGCAGATGCTTTAAATCAAAATTTCATACCATGTATCTATAGGAAAAAACAGGGTAGAAGGTTCTAGGGGAGGGAGGACAAATTTAATAGTGAATACTTTTAGTTTTAAAAGGCACTTAAGAAGTATTTTAAGTGATGTTACTATCTGGGGAGACAAATCCAGTAAGTGTAAAGAAGGAATAGATTGACAAAAATGGTGACAACTCTGTACTTTCTCATGCATGTTGTGACACGGAAGCAGGTAAGCCCTGCCATGAAGAACTGAGAAATGGACACATCTCTGGAGGCAGAAAGTGTCTGCGCAATTAGTCTATGTGTTATAAAGGGCACGAAGCCTGGGATTGTAACTATTAATGTGTGCTGTGGCGAGGAGTTGCAGTGCACTGGAAGTTTCACTGATAGGCATAGACAGACAGTGGGGTGAATTTAAACCCTCCTGAAAGGGGAGATCAGAGGGCTGCACAGAGGAGCAGTGTATTCCCGAGCTACCTGAGATAGTAACAAGTGCTAAAGAAGAGCTGACTTACTGAAGGTGAGGCAGATGTAAAGTCACAGGTAAAGTCAGTTAAAAAGTCACAGGGTTATAGGAAAATAGGGCTGTGAGGGACCTCGGTGGACTCTCTATCTCCCTGCTCAAGGCAGGATCACCCCTGGCTAAACCATAAGTGCTGGCCTAACCTTCTCCTAAGAAATGCTGAGGCTATTCCACAACTGAACCTTCATCACTATTGGAAAGTTCTTCTAATCCAACCTCAATTTCTCTTTTGCCATTTAAGAAAGTTACTTCTTGTCACGTCCCTGCAAGTGCAGAGAACGTTCTGTCACCATGCTGGCCGTGACCACCTTTCAGCTATTCAAAGACTGTTACTGT